TATCTTAAGCGATTTTATTTTTATGCTGCTAGTCCACGAACTTTACGAACAACTCTCCTATAAGATGCATCTTATACATAAAAGTCACAGAAATGTAAGCTTGTGATCAATTTTTTCAGAAGTGAAAACCATCTCAAATTTTACGAATTTCCAGCAGAATTAAGAAAACTTTGGAAACCACTCAACTTCCTGCGTCCTCTTGCCTCTATTTAAGCTTTCAATCATAATTATTTGTTTTTTTAACAAGAATAATTTCTTTTTCTTTTAAGAGGTAGAGCTTTTATAAGACAAATACGTTTATAAACCAGAAATTCAATGGGATATCAAAGTCTTTATGTTGACCGAAAACCCCATAAAAATTAAACTATGGTATGCTGAATAACTCAGTGATTTAACTTCTAGGTAAATACAATCTCAATGTAAAACAAATAAAGTTGTCAATAGCATAAATTTATCCTTCATGAGAGTAAACGGACATTTTCAAACGTAGTATTTAATAAATAAATGATACAGTCAAACAAAACCGGATCTGATTTGTACGGTAATTAAACTAGATGTGGTTAAGACTCATTTGTATGATAATTAAACTAGATGTTTTAAAGACTCGTGGCGGAAATATTTCCCAACTCTGTACCCATTTAAATGCATTTGAAATATTCATGAGGAATTCACTTAAGATTCTTGATAGATAGGAAGAGGATAAATAATATTTTAGCTTCATTTCCTTTAATTTTTAGAACATTTAATTTTTCCATGAACGTCTGTTTCCCTTAGGAATGAATATACACCAAACAAATTTGGATTGAAGTTTGATAAACAATTCATAAAATTCGACACATATTTTTAGAAACTGTTTTTCAAAAGCTTTCCTCATGTTAAATTTTTTTTTTATTTTTCCGGATTTCTGAGTGGTGGGGGTTGTCTATTTGGTCAGTAGTTTGTCTACTATAGGTAGGCGATGGAACAGGATATAAGCAATAAGATGGATAACAAGATCATTCACCTACCAGTCACATCACATTTACCCAAAAAGTAATAAATAACGTCAATGTCTTAAATAAATATAGATTTAAGATTATCGGAATGTAGGTTTGTAATTGATTTATTTAATAAATTACGATATACATAATATACTTACTTCCATGATGTACATCCGTAAAAAAATATGTTTTTACATTTAATATATAAAGATGTTTAACATTTCCTGTGATAAAAAAGACAGATACCATATTTAGGACATACAATTTTACTAATAGCATAAATACATACGTTACACGGTTTGTGTTTTATATTTATTAAGTAAAATAGATTTTTGCTGATAGGTTAATCATGTGTCTGATTATAATTTATATTTTGCTGCCAATATTTACTGTTGGAATTGAAAAGGTTTAAAATTGTTTCGTTTTAGTGTTATTTTCTTTTGACTAGAAACTTTCTGTAAATCGTCTCCACTATAGTATCCTTGATTCAGAGGCATGTTTTTATCAACAAATAGAAGTGGTTTGATTATCAAGAAATATACCCCATTCGTACGACATGATTTGCATACCTCAGTATATTTTACAAATGAGTAAATTTACTCACATGTGCAATTTTTGTTGTATGAACTGATATACTCATTTGCAGATTCTGCACAGTTGAGTAATTTTACGCCTGGTCTGGACTAGGTGTAGATTAACTTCTGCATACACTTTGTAGCAAACTATTAGTTCATGTGTGTAAATTGTATCGTATAAACAGGCAACAGATTTACTTATGTATGTATTTTGTTCTGTTTAGTTTAAAAATTTTCATTTAAGTGTTGTGTTGGTTGTGTATGCAATGTAGTGTAAAATATAAGTCAGTAAACATGGTTGCTAGATTGATTGATTAATTGTATATTGTTTTACTCCCTCTGGAGAATTCTTCATTCTTACTAGGCACTCAAGGACATTGAGCAGGGAATGATCTTTTCTTTGCCAGCACCTGCTGCGACACGGAACCTCCGTTTATACGGTCTCATCCGAAGGATCGGACTCCACTCCCAACAATGGGATTCGAACCTGTGACGTAAGGATCAAGTCCTTATTTTGCGACTCTTTAGCAGACGCACAAACCACTGCGCCACACGCCGACTTGGTGACTATAGAAGGCAAAACTCTTAAAATCAAGGAGCTAATATGATTAATATAATTTGTATATGATTTACACCCTTGTGATTAATAAAACCAAAGTAAATTGTTTTAATTGTTTCAGAAAAAAATGTTTTTGTACAATCGAATATAGAGAATTATATAAGAGATCAATAGTGCACAGGACGACAATAATGTAATTTTGCTATAATTGAAGCTTATATATAAAAGTTCTTCCATCGCAAATATGAGTAACTGTAGTTTATAAATGTTCTTTTTTTCTATCATTGAAATACCTAATTATAAATTTGCAATACAAATTTCCCATGTCAATCTTGCAGCACATGTTGATAATTTTATTACGTTCTGCTTCTTCGAGTTTAATTTTTATACTATTCTTTCTCCCTCAAGTCACTAATTAAGTTGTACCAAGGAATCAGTGAGGAAGATTTAAAAGTTGGTCTTAAAGATTAGTCTTATACTCAAACAGAAAGGAAAAAGCCTTTTCTATAAAACTTCAAAATTCTGAATCTGTTCATCTCCTTAATCTTTATCAATATGTGAGGATTAACTTACTGTACATAACTCTCGTCTGAACGCATAGCAAATTAACTTTTACTTACCTATGTAGTTTTACTTATATGTAAATTTTTAAACATGAGCAAATTTTCGTCGTAGGTATGGGGTATTATTTCCAGGAATTGTTTACTTTATGTTTTTACAACTGATGGATACATCACAGTTTTCTTGTTGATTTTATATAGTATTTATGCAATAACTTCATACGTGTTATGTATTTATTTCATTATATTCTATAATACATATGAGACTAATCTGTATCTTAAAGACTGTGTGTAATTTATAATGTATAATTTATCAAAAAAAAAAACATTCTATAGTATATGATTCTCTTTTGGTCACACGATCCCTGCAAAAACCCTGGCTTTTTACTTAAGGATTTAATACTGAAAACTCACAAACCATCTCTGGCTGATGGATTGTAATAGTTCTCCTGTCGTTTTTAATGGTTTCTTTCAGTGGCAGCCGACTTTTTTTTCGTCCTTTTGCACGCAGTTCTTTGCCTTGCCTTGACTTACAGAAAAAAAACTCAATCATGTAACCTTTGTACTTCCTAAATTTGACAGAAATGGTACAAAATGATAACATTAGTTCTCATCTGTTCGACTGTCTTCTGTATTAAAAACTTAGCAGTGTTTTAAAGTTACTTTCTGTAATCTAGCATAACGAAAAATATGCCTCATCGGAAAAAATGAAAGTTTCAGACCATTAATGTAAAACAGTTTTCTATTCACGGCAACTTTATACATACAGTGATATTAACCGCAAAAAAAGTTGCTTGCGTATGCTAAAATGTATTGACAATCAAGTTTATTTCAAGATATTTCAAACAAGAAAATATTTCTTTTTAATTATTACCTGCATCCAACTTGACCTGTCACAGTTGACGTTTTTACTTAAGGCAGCATTTCTGCCAGTTTTATGCTGTAACTGCTTTTAAAATTGCATGTGTACATTTTTTCATTACGTCTTTCTTATCTAGTGAACAACTGTGAATTCACTATTTTCTGTGCGGTATTTATTTTCGTGGTTCTTAAGGTATAAAATAAAAGACCCATGAATATATGTCTATCATAATATCATTTCTCCTACTAAATTACTATTAAACAATTCTATAACCATGAAATCAAGTCCTCATAAACGAATACATTTTTCTCAAACCTCGAAAATATGTGATGTTAGAGTTTCATAAAGACGATAGCATGACGCTTAATCTTTATTTTCATCATCTGGTTAAAGAACATTACACCAGACTTGTTAACTGAAGGCTTTAACATTACACCCAATTTTTTTTTTATTTGTCTATGTGCAGATTAAGCATTATTTCAACAAGCCCAAGGACCACTTGCCTTTTTTAAGTTAAACTAATAAGTGTGCGATTCATGTGCAACATTAGCTATTCACCATTTTAGCTTTAACTCTATGTCATTGAAATTAGACATCATGAATACACAGTAGATATTATAAACAGGATTCGGAAATATGTTTTACAACTTACATTATTTCCTTTCCTTAAAAAAATTCACCAATCTGGGTCTCATTCAAGGGCGTCGGAAGCAAATTAAAAGTGGGGGGGGGGTTAAATCGAAAGTGTGTGTGTGGGTTGGGCGGGGCATATCAACAAAAAAGGTAAATCAAAATTACCACTGTCTGTATAATGGTTAACCCCCCCCCCCCTCAGGTCTTTACTCCTATGTCATTTTAACAACGTATTACGATTCTTTTTGAAAATCTATCATAAGTACTTTTCATTTTTTTAAAAGTTTTAACACGCTTAAAATTATTCTTATAGAGTTCCCTGATATTTGTATCTTACAAATGTACGTCTTTTAAAAGACTCAAAAGTAAATATAATAATGATGATTTATAGTATTACATTAACATTTAGAGGCTTAAATATCAAAGTTGAAGTAAATCAATAAATTCGTAATAATGTCTTAGAGTTAGATAATTTTTCGCTTTGAATTTTACAAAATTGCTGATTTCCAATTTCATTCAGTTTGAGTTGATGTAGGAATATATATATCAAAATTACATATATAAAAGATACCTAACACAAAAACATTGACCACCATCATAACATAACAGGCATTAACTAAATTAGAAACAGAACACCTTTCATTGTTAAATTTCAAATTGCAATTTGAAAATAAACGTTTATGAAAATTCATGACAATTCATATGAACTTCGATAAAATCGATACTTAAACAATAGTGAAATATAGAATACGTAACAGTTAGCCAATCGCTTTTCAGACATTGATTATGGTACGATATATACATCTTGCTGTTGAAAGACCATTTAGCAGAATGTCACGGATTCACGAGAACGCGGCAGATTTTTACGCAACACCAAAAATGAGCAATCATTTGGTTTTCACTTTAATTGTAGGCTTCTTAGCTTTATCTAAAGCTACCATTATTTCTCAGAGATATGCAGCGAAACTTGAATTTGATGATAAGAAGTCAAACAATGACCTTTTAGGTGAAAATAATGCTCAATCGTTAACTGAGTGCGCCGCAACCTGTCAAAGGGAGTGCGTCTTTTTTGGTTTTAATCCTAAAATGAAGAAATGCCGTACCCACAAGAAAAGATTAACGTCTGAACTGTCTGAGGAGGCAGGGTGGAGATACTACTCGGATAACGGTATGTATATTTGATTTTTTTTTCATTCTCTTAGCTTTTTTTTTTTTTTCATTCTCTTAGCTTTTTTTCATTCTCTTAGCTTCTTTTTTTCATTCTCTTACCTTCTTTTGATTTTTTTTCGGTCCTTCTCGAGAGGGCACGATTTTTTTTTTATCAAGTTTGATACGATATAGACGGTGTTGGAAATCATGGTTATTGTATCGACCTAAGAATCTACGAAATGTTCAATTTCACATACATTGTATCATGCATAAAATATCATGATTTTACTACATTTGTCAACATTCGTTTCAGTGTCTAATTGTATATCATCTTATCTAAGAATATATTCATCTTATACATATCTTTCAATCAACAGAGTACTGAAAATGATTGTATTTAATTTGTTTCAATAAGTAAACAAAAATGATTTTTAGATAATGAGGAACGGTTTAACATAATACGCATTGTACATTTTTGTTTCCACAATTAACATTTATATATCATGCAGGCATTATTATCCACTCACCTCTTGTACATATACATGATATGATCCCGGAATTTTTTTTAAGATTGTGTTTTGTCTGCCATGCCTAAAGATTGTGAAGATCTTTGTGAAGAAGGACAAACTACTACAGGGGTGTATCATATATACCCCTACAGTACATTAACCATTCCAATAAGTGTCTACTGCGATCTGACCACGATGGGCGGTGGATGGACGGTAGGTCGTTTACCCTTTTAATTAAAAGTACTTAATATAACATATAACACACCTTGTTTTTGTGGTTTTAGGGATTGTAGGATTGTATTGTAGTTTATATCAAAACATATGGATCCTATGATTGTTCGAAGCAATAAATTGAAATGAAATGTATGTTAATTTTTGAAGGCCATTCAGAAACGCGTAGACGGATCCGTGAGTTTTGACAGGAACTGGACGGACTATAAGAATGGATTTGGTGCCCCAGAACAGGATTACTGGATAGGTAAGTGTAAATCGGTTTCAAATTCGAATTTTTTATTCCTTCAAAGTTTTAAGATAAAAAAAAATTCTTGTGGCAAGCAAAAAATTATAATGCGTAATAAAGATCTAAAGTTAAGACCAGGTAATGCGTGTTCTATGATATTCAGATATCGTGTTTTATTGATATCTCAAATAACAAAAAAAAAAAAGAAATGAAGAATATCATTTAGCAGCATTTTCTAATGAGACCAAATTTAGCAATATTGTCTACAGCTATGGGAAATAATCTGATTTTTCATTACGGTAGATTCATATAGATTTTAAAAGAATTAATTGTATTCGATGAACTTTTCAGATGATTATAAATATATCTTAATACAGGGAATGACGTAATCCATAAATTAACGAAAGAAAACACCTCATCCTTGTATGTGTCCATCACTCTCCAGAATGGTACAATGCTGTATGAAATGTACGGCGGTTTCTCTGTCTCCGACGAAGCAGGAAAATATCAACTCTTTCTTGCAGGACCTGTCAATGGAACTTTAGGTCTGTGTGTTTAAGTTAAGTTCTTCAAATTGGATTTAAATTACGTATATCATCATAAGTATACTTTTCTGTATTGACAGTTAAGTTATTAAAAAAAGAGAGATGTGGGTTTTGTTTATATTCTGTTTACGTTTTTGATTCCACGCAAATTAAACATATTTAGTATTTCAGAATAATCCTGATAATTTTTGATAATTCACATTTTAACTGATACGGAAAAAGTTTACAGAGCATGTTAGTCTGATTTTCAATGATTCACATTTTTAACTACTACGGAGTAGGAACTTTACAGTGCGTCATTAATCTAAAATGTCTTAAGGTTTGCAAAAATTTGATGATAAAAAAATTTTGATCGGATAATTATTCAAATTAAAAAAGCTTAAAAAGTCAAACTTAAAAGACCTCAACACGTTTCACATTTACATTTATTCATTATGAAATTTACCATCTTATAACATTCACAGATGCACCATATTTTATCTCGTTATTAATGATTTACTTAGTATTGCATGTTATACCTGTTTAGCGACACGGTCTCGGAAAAATATTAAAATATCATTTTGTGATGCTTTCTTAAATTTCCAGTGACCTTTATCCCCCCCCCCCCCAATAAAACCATGCTTAAAAGTGTAACACGTCTGTTGTTTATTGTTACACTAGAAAGGATGCTATGTGAATTGTGTAGTGTTTTTTTGTCTTGTATTATTTTTATCTCTCTTTACAAGAAACAACACTTTAAACTGCGTATCTCAGACGTACTTCAGTATTAAAATTAATGTGATGTAAATTAATAATTATTATCTCTGTTATATTTTGTTTTTCTAAATCTGCAGGTGCCAGTATGATAGACACCGGGGATTCAAGGACTAAACTAAATAAATATTATCACTCTTTCCATCACATAAATAGAGGATATTCAATGTTTTGTAGTTAAATATGGAATTTATTTCACCAGTGGGACAGGATTTTTGATATTTTCACGAGTGCGAAGCACGAGTGAAAATATAAAAAAATCCTGTCTCATGAGTGAAATAAATTCCATATTCAACTACAAAACATTGAATTTTTCAGTTTATTACATTAAAAAAAAGTCTTTGATTTTTCCTTTGCCTCTGTCTTTTTTGTTATACATTCATGCACTCGTGACGTCATAATTGAGCGGTTGAGACGTCATAGCTAAGAGAGGTAAAAACACTGTAAACCTGAATTTGACAACATATTTTTGATAATTTTGACACTTTTATTCGCTATCAGAATGGTTTATTTATTTCCATCTATTTTATATTAGGTCAAGGAAGATATTTTTACAGCAATCTTCGTTTTGAGAAAGGAAATCGAGAGTTTTCCCGCACTTTTGATATTCGTCACACTGTGACAGGATATCATTTTGATATCCTTTCACACTGTGACAGGATATCATTTTTATTCAATGAATAAATTACAGTATTTCATGGGTAAAAATGTAATAAAGCTGTTTATCTTAGATGTGCCTTAGTATTATTATTGACAATTAGATTAAAAATATATATAAATTCATTATCTATGTGATTCCTTTTATTCAATTTTACAGGAGACTCCATGTTAGATACAGGTAATCCTTCCCTAGATCTGTCTGGGATGTACTTTAGTACCCCAAACAGAGACAATGACAGATTTAGTGGTGGTCATTGTGCTGCTGACAGTTACCATAGAGGAGGCTGGTGGTTCAACTGGTGTACCTACGCCTTCCTTAACGGACAGTGGTACCCGGAGTCCTGGTACAAACCATGGTATCCTACAGTGAATGATAGTACACAGATAAAAGAAACTCTCATGATGATCAGGCGTCGCTAGGTTAACATCATTAAATCTTAATATAACAGTTTTTTTTATTTTTGTATTACTGTGAAAATTTCAGTTATAAAGGTTTTGTTTTTTTTTTTTCAATACAAAAATATGCTATTATACATGTATCTGTGAAGTTTTAATATTTTTTTTTAACAGACGAAAGATCATCCATGGATTGTGGAAACCCTCAAGAGACGATTTTAAATCATTTTTTATCGCTGAGTTCTTTTTTTAAACATTTAACATCAAGTAACAAACAGTAAAAGAAGGGGGATTGAACTGCACTGTAAAGCGATACTGAATATATTCAGTTAAAGATGTACTTTATATGTGTTGTAATAAATTTGAAAATAGAAATATTTCGTTCTTTTTTTCCAAACACTGATAAATGGAGATAAATGGATGTAGAATTAGGATGAAGATTACTTTATTGTTAAACCTATTACAGTGGAACCTGTTTCATCCGACACATGCAATACTCTTTACTGTGATTTCAACCATTTAATTTCATTTGTCATTTATACTTATCTCAATGATCTTTACACACTGCAATACTACACGTTGTTTATTCCAACACATATATTTTTAATCTGTTCCCCGTGCATGTCGGATAAGACAAGTGTCATTGTAATAAAGATGTTAAGATATTTTTTTTAAATCATAGGATGGTCATATTTTGTGATACAATACATATAAGATTATACTTCTCTAAAAAAATATCCCCATCTTTTTTCATCCATACAGTATTTTTAATTGATGAGCATTCAATTATCCATTAATATACTTGAAACCACTTTAATTGAAAATATTGTTATTTTTAATATCATGGAGAAAATAAGCTAAAATGTTAAAGTGAGCCGTACTGAATATTTCTTTCCACAAATCTAATTATACCATGAATAAATTTAGATAGCTTGAATTTTAGGTGTTGCAAGAAACGCAAAGATACTAGATTCTCCATGATACTATATTATGAGCTTAAAGTAAAAAAAAAAATCATATTTTCTGAAGATCAATATCTTCTATTGCTACAAATAGTCATTAATAAAAGAGCTTTCTGCTCTTGAATGCACAAAATACGTTATAGCAGACTTACATCGATACTGTAATTTTTTACTGTGTTTTTTTTTTATTTCAAAAAACCCTAATACAGATCGGGGGTCAAAAGGTTACATGTGTAATATGCGTTTTATTCTGACGTCACAAGCGTTAAAAGCAAAATTTGAGATCATGTAAATTTATTGTTATTTAGGTTAGAGATAATTCAAGTAAGTTAGAAAAAAAAAATAAAAATTGCAAAACAAGACAAGGAGTTAGAAAAAATTTAGCACTGATTCATTGTGTTTGAAAGATGTTATCTTATATTTGCAACTGCCTTTGCAAATAAAAAGCAAGCAATATGTTTGCAAAAACTTTTGTAATTATGAGACTACATCTTTAAAAAAATGATTCAATGTGTGTGACAAGTCATTCTCTTTTATGCAATATGTATACGATGGTTTATATACATGTAGTAGTATATCCAAAATTTTGATAGACTACAACTTGAAATTTGTTATTAAATCAATAGGATAAGTTTTAGGAGCTAATGATAAAAATTCAAGAAAAGTTTGTGAAACAAAGAGGTTTATGATACATGTTGACGTTTGTAGGTCAAACACCAAGGTCAATATAAAAGAAGTTTTAGTACAAAAAAAGCGTTCCTCACAATGAGTCTACCTTCTAAAATAAAACACCGTAAAAGCAGCAACAGTTCAGCAATTATGACCAAAGTTAGAGATTTCCAAAAGTAGGTCAAACTGGAAAAGGTCAGCGAGTCAATATTTATGATGCCCGAAAGAATTTCAGAAAGAATTCACAGGGGAAATATTAAAGTCACGAAATCAACCATTCAAAAGTTATTACCAAAGTTTTTCAAAAAAAGGTAAAAGTCTGATGTCCAAATAAAAGGATAAAGAATAAAAAGAAAATATTGGTATACAAGAGAAGCTCTTACCACAAGAAATGAACCGGTAAAATAGTTAACCCCTACCACTAAATATTCAGTAAATACGTCCAAAGTTAACGTTTTTGAAAAGTAGGTTAAATCCTTAAGATCAAGGTTAAAGGTCATTACTGTTTGTACTAAAGAGAAGGTCTTATCAAAATATAAGCGTGAGGAGTATGATATCACTTGATTTAACCGTGTAATAGCTAAGCTAAGCTTAAAAATTTGAAAATTTCTTTAAAAGTGAGTCAAACATAAAGGTAAAAGTCAAAAATACTTTTACCCTAGGAAAAGTTTTTACACGTTGAATACACCAGTGAAATATTATAGCCATAGTTTATATGACAAAGGCTCAAATTACAAATTCCAAACTGACCGTCAAACTAAAGAAAAAAAAACCTGTGAAATATGAAATGCATAGCTCAAACCAATTAAAAGCTGTAGTCAGGGCTAATTGATTTCCCCACTTACAGATAAATCAGGAAAAAAATCACAAACAGACAACTGGACCGACTGTCCTAGGAAAATATATTTGCCCCTTATTTTTTGGATTACGGATAGAAATTATAAAAACAACACTTTGCGCTAAAATGTTTGTTTGTATGATGAGGGGAGATCCGAGTCAGTTTCCTTGGGAAAATAACGAAACAATATAATGCACTGTCTGTCTTTGTGTATATGCTATTTATAGTTTATTTAAAACATGAGGATAAACCTAGATCTCTTCCGAGGAGACGAATATACAATCCGAGGATAAATCTAGATGACTTCCGAGGAGACGAAAATACGATTCAACGTTAACTTAAGAATACTCCATTTAATGATTTAGAACTTTATACACCATGCTTAATTATAAAATGAAATTATATAACAAAAGATAATGATTGCAAATGTTTATTTTAATTTAGAGAGAATGAATCATTATGTTACAGAACACTCTTCATGCTCCAAATAAAATGGAGAATCCTCACAAATAAAGGGAAGTTTTAGTCCGTCTTCTCCTGTATAGTACGTGTAGTTTCTCTCAGTCACCCGGCACCACCTGTCGTCATTATGATGTTAAAAAGAGGCCAAAGATTGGGTCAACAGCTGTCTCGCCCTCATCGGTAGGATTCCAGTTCTGATACGTCACTGGTGTCCAGCTATCAAAATTGAATCTGTCATTGTCGTCAAATGTCAAAACATTGGCACAAAATGCAAATGAACCGTTGTGATCAACTTCTGCAGAAAAGGACAAGAAAAAAATTATTTCATCCTCAAGTTTGAAACATCGCCGATACAATATGAGTTGTTGCTTTACATTCCGCATGCTCTAAAAATTATAAAATTTGATCCAAATTCAGTAGACATTTGAAGGGAAAGTATTCTCTTTTCTTGCGTAGTGGTATGTGTAACAATAGAATAGTTTCTAACGAGCATGAGCAAACCTAGGACAAACTTTATTTAAGAAATAAACAACGTTATTTAGTGAACATGGTGTTATGAATAGCAATTGCTCTGCTGGCATATTCCATGATGCGCGCTAGCGCATCATGGAAAATATGCCAGCAGAGCTATTGCTATTCATTACGCCATGTTCACTAAATAATCGTTGTTTATTACTTATATTTGCATTCTTTGATGTTTTCAAGAATATCAGAGGAAATCCTGACTTAGATAAGGACGCAGCTTCTTCTGTCTTCAGTAAAGAAAACCATACGGCTTTAAAATCAGTACACCTGAACAATACTCCTTTTCTCTAATAAATCACAATTTATAAAGTATTTCCCTCTCAAACACAGTTATCTGGATCCAAGCAGCGCCGTCATAACATTATCTTAATTTTTGTTTTGATGCAGTCGTGACGTCATCGATCAACGTTATTGAAATCATCTGACAAAAATAAGTAATTTAACACTATTATAAATATGAGAATGCTTTTATAATGATCATTACTCCAGTATGCTTTTCTGTGATTTTTTTTTTTGTGGTATTTTTTCTTATTTTTTTTTCTTGAAAAAGATATAGATCTAGATCTCTTTCTGAATGTTATTACCCAAGTGTGAAGAGTTATCGTTCTTTGTGCAAGTATGCATGATACGAAAAAATAAAAATATGGAGTTCTATTCAATTTTTAAAAAGTTTTATATTACAATTAAATACATTGACCAAAATTAAATTTTAAATTGTTCTGAATTCCTTTTTTTTTTTCAAAGAAATATTATTAAAAAATTATTTATAGTGCTTTTACGAAACACTTCATATATATATATATATATATATATATATATATATATATATATATATATATATATATATATATATATATATATATATATATATATACTTCTCAACACGATATATATATATATGTGTAGTAGAACTTGTTCTACACGAGTGAGCTAGAGCAATTGCACTCATAGCAGAAGCAGTTGCGTCTATAGCTTTATGAACGCAGTTGCTGGCTGCATGTTCATAGTGGGAAAGAGCAGTGGATATGCAAATATTTCAATTTGAATAACAAAGGAATATAATGTTTATGGGTGAAATTAGAAATAAACAATTTTAATATACTGCAGAAATATATTTTCCAGATTTAATGTGCAGTTTTTTATTTAAACTTCAAAATCAGGTTTGTAGAAAGCAAACAAAAAAATAAATAAATAAAATAACAATTTAACTTTTTTATCAAAGGAGATTAAATATGATGTGCATAATTTCTGATGTAAGAGTATCAATGTTTTGATCAAATACAAATTAGAGAAATTTGACAAAAAATATTTTTTTTGTTAATGTACGCTTGGGATAAAAATGAAAGCATGTTATGAATAAGTTGCTTACATATATAGCCAGGTTTATGGGGTTTACGCCTTAAAACCTCCTAAGAATCGACAGCATGTAATAACAAAATGTGTCTGTGAAACACCGATGCCGCCATATGGCAACATAGCGAAGGTTAAGCTTTCTCAAATGCAGATCAAATACGTTGGTAACTAAAGTAAGGCCTTTCCATAAAATACAAATCTGACATAGAAAACCC